CCGGAAATCATCCTCAGTGATAAAGGCTATGTGGATAAGCTGCTTCCAACATGCATTTGGATATCAGCAAAGCATGCTGGCAACAGCTTATCCACGCAACTTCTATCAAGTGCACGTCACTTCCGGTGACACGCCCACCCCAACTTTCGGATATCGACTGTACTTCACCACGTGGTGGATGAGTTCATGTGCACACACTCTACTGGAACATTGGTGTCGAAGCTTATTTCGAGGAATTTTCCTAACAGGGGACCACCCTGTATCCGTGACTTCGAACACGAGGGAAAGGGTGGAGCAGGCCATTTGCCGAGTATATTCGGCAAACCTAACGACTCGTTTTCCGGACACTTCTTCTTCTAACAGATACGCCAACCATTAAAACGTAGATGACACGCCTTTTTATGCGCATCTCTCATCTTTTTTTTTACAAAAAAAATCATGGTGCTCATGGATTGGGGGGGGGGACACAGGACATTTAAGCCGCTGGTAGGTGACACTAGGACAAGGAGAGGGAGAAACCCCAGGAAGAAAAAAGTGCTCACATCTCCCCCAGAATCCCTTCCCCTCACTAGGGCTTAGTCCCAGGAATTATAAGTGGATCACTCGCTTGGAATGTCCTCCTCCTCCCCCCTCCCCAATCGGTGAATGGATATGGACATTTTTGGGAAATAAAAATTTAGACAAAATTTAAACGAAACTAGTCTCCCCGTGTGAAAATGCGGGACGTATGTATCTCGCGCGTCGTGTGTGATAATTCGATTCGAAACATCTTCTAGAATTGGAAAAAGTCTCTGCGCTTTTTACTAACAAGTTACATAGATTCTTGCGAAATACGATGGCGGCGCAGCTGTCACGTTCAAACGCACGGGATCATGAGATCGCGCAGACAGTTTTTGAGGAGGTTTCAAATGAGCAACAGGAAGAGCAAACACCATTCATACTTGTAGAGAAGCTCGAGGTCAGTTTCGATATTTCTGCTATGCCGATAAGTTTTTTTTTCATTTTTGTTTTATTTCACCTTCGTCGAAGCGGAATTGTCTTCCTCTCGTAGCACGCACGCTAATGTGCTGTCCTGTTTCTTCTCAGATTTTTTTGGACTTTATTGAAGCTCACATTTGTGTAATAAATTCCAGCAATCCGGAATCAGCTCAGGAGACATCAAACGCCTCAAAGAAGCTGGATTCAACACTGTTGAACGAATAGCTCATGCAATGCGGAGTGAGATTACATCTGTGAAGGGGATAAGTGAACAAAAAGCCGACAAGCTCTTAGTACGTTTCTGAGATTGATTTCAGATAATTTTAGATGATGGTCTAGAAAGTATCGTTTGTTATCCTTGAATTTAGTCCATTTTGTGTTTCGAAATTCCACATTATTCATTGAATAATTCTCGCTTCTTTTATTTGTTTCATTGGTTCCCTAATTAAAAAAAAATCACTTTACTTAAAAAAACACTTTTCTTTGCTTCTGTCCGCGAGCTTTCACACAATGGTAGACTTGCGAGGAACTTCAAAGGAAGCCAACTCTGTAAAGGAAACTGCGTGACGGTTTACGTCAAAAGTGGGGGTAAGAAAGAGGTAATGACCGGTTCGTAGAAAGGAGTCGTTGGCGGGAAATGAGATTCTACTAAAAAGACAATATCATGATATCAGGCACTTGCGGATTCTTCATTCGAATGCAGGAAGAGAGGAGATTTGTGTGGAGACATTTTGGCAAAAGTGTACACTCTTTCCGGGGGGGGGAAGGGGGGGAGCTCAAATTTTATAATGGTGGAAGTGCCATGTTAGAATTGCATTGTGAAGGGTTTTGTGATGAAGAGTTGAGGTGGTCCTACCAGAACTTCACACTCTATTCTCGCTTCCAGTTTTGAAGCGTCAGGTATCAATACAGCCTTATTTTGCGATCAACAATGCTCCCACTTCGTTGTAGGCAATCATTGCGTTAGGTGTCTGTGGTCCTTTTGTGTCTACCTCATTCTTTCAAATAAACCATTTCAAGCACGAAGCAATGAAATTAGTGCCGATGGGTTTCACTACTGCTTATGAAGTACACGAGCGACGCAGCGAATTAATACAGATTCGAACTGGATCGCCTACATTGGATAGACTGATCGGTGGAGGAGTGGAAACGGGTCACATCACTGAGGTTGGTCTTGGAAGTTTCTGCTTCTCAAAGTTCTTCACATATTCCTTTCAGTTTATTTTTCTGAATTCGTATTTATTACACTGAGGCTTTAGATTTTTGGCGAGTACCGCACAGGCAAAAGTCAAATTTGTCACAGCTTAGCTGTCATCTGCCAACTGCCAGTATCAATGGGAGGTGGTGAAGGTGAATTTTGCTCTGAAACGAGCGAGAATTTCATTTTCGTGAACATGCTAGAATCTGTCACGTTCTAGGGAAGTGTATGTGGATAGACACTGAAGGGACGTTTCGACCAGAACGATTGGTCCCGATAGCGGAAAGGTAAGTGGTTCTTCATAAGTGATGAAGATCGAAATAGATGAAAAAGATAAGTATCGAAAATGTTTTTTACAGATTCAACATGCAAAGCAAGCATGTGTTGGAGAACATCGCGGTAGCTCGCTGTTATAACTCAGATCACCAGATTGCCTTACTGACAACCGCAGGTGATTGTCCCACACCGTACAATATACCAGATTGCTCATTTCGAACCAGCTGGGGGAGCGAATGGGTCTGATCCGTCTTGTGACGAGATGAGCCTGTACTCTTGCAGGCACGATGGCTTGTGGAAAATTTGGCTTTTGGCTCGAACGGAGCTCTAGATTGCAATTAAGCTAAGTCATCTTCAGTTGCTTTCTTTCATATGAAGAGTACCGAGCAAATCCCTTATTCCCCTTTTCTCTGTAACCCTCCCTAAAGCTAGAGTTTTGGCTTACGGTATCTTGCAATGGTTTTGTATTTGTCATCAAACCCTTATTATTTTCTGCTTATTCTTCAACTCAATTTTTTTTGTCGTCAAGTATTTTTCTTCAGCAGCAATGATGGCTGAGAGCAGATACGCCCTATTGATCGTTGATAGCGCTACAGGATTATTTAGGTAGGGATTTAAGGTTAAATGTGAATGCACTCTTGATGGTTTTTT